CTAGCAATAGTGAAGGGGAAAATTACAAATTTTAATGCAAATAAAGTAATATTAGAAGGTTTAATGATATGAATTGGGAGGTATCTAAAGTAGGTAAAAATGTAAGTACTTTTGTTTTATAACTTAATTATAATCCTTTAGGAGTTCAAGTTCTTTTTAACAAATGACATAAAGGAAAACATTAATAGAATATAAGGGATAACAAAATAAGTGTATACAAAAGCTACAACTTAGCAAAACATGGAATGTAGCATTGTTAACTATCAGCTAACAAACTGATCTATCTGTTATCAAAGATTTTTAACAATTACAACGTATTCCTATATATTTATGTATAGGCAACTTTTTTGCTGTAAAAACGTACTTGGTTCCTTTATTTTTATGCAACGTATAATGCCTTGAGCAACACCAAGATATGTTACTATAAGAATTGTCATTCAAATAAATGTTTATGTTAAAATATATAATTAAACAATGACCTATACATCTTTCCTTTTTTAATCATTAAGCATAAAATTAAACTGTAAATGAATAATGAAATGCAAGTTGTATAAGACAGTTACATATCAATTTTAAAGTAATAAGGTAAGAACTATTGTAAAAGGTGTGAGACATATCTCATACTCAAATTTAATACTAAAAACTAAGAATAGTTATTAATTCTAATAAAATCCACAAAAGAAAAAATTACAGAAATGTTTAATTCAAACTTTGAATGGACAGATTAATCCAATATGCTTGGTGTATAATGCATCTATCTCAAACACATATACATTAAAGACAACATCATAGAAGCAATTGAAATGGACAAATTTAAAATTTTTATTAATAACATTAGAATTTTGTTTCATAAATGTTTGTTTGAATCATAGCTAATTAAAGCTTATTTTGATTGACGAAAAATGATGTAAAGGTTCATAAGATAATAGAGGTAAGAATGTTTAAAAATGAAAATTATGGTAGGATTAAATGACGATGAAATTGAGAAGGGTAAAATGAAATTTTCCTGCGAGCTAAATGATCATGCACTATTCTAGGATCTTTTAATTACTTTGCTTAGTTGCAAGGGTAGGGTGGATAAAAGTGCCATAAAGAGTATATAAAGAGTAAATATCATAATATAAAGAAGAAAAAACTAAAATAATTGCAACTGATAAGGAGTAATGTAAAATGTTGGAACATAAAGAGTACATATCATAATATAAAGATGGAGCTGATGTGGTAGATATGAAACCGATGTGGTAGTGTCCACATGTTATAATTTTAGGTAATAAGAATGAAAATATATGCATGTTAGATATATATATATATATATATATATATGTATATATGAAATATTTGTGCTTTAATTTTAAACAATGGAGCAAAAGTTTAATCTCTCTGTCTCATTTTTCTATCCTTTTATTTTTGGATGGTCCAAAATTATATCTTTTATTTTTTTTAACACTTAAAAACTTTTTTTCATACTTCAAAATTATTATTCATGATTTTTTTTACATTAAAAATTATAAAAAAAATTAAATATTAAATATTAAATACACAAAGGTTAATATTTTTTTAAACTACCTGAAAATTTAAAAAAGAAAATTTTGAAATATACAGAGTATAATTTATTACATGTCATCGGTCCGTTTGATGAGGGTATTCCGTGAATGACATTGATTGAGATGCATACCCTAAAAATTAAAATAAAGCTGTTGTGAACTTGTCAAGCAAGTTTGTTGGAAGCCTTAGAATATTCAGCTTGTCAAGCAAGATCTTCTTTTGAGTCTATCGTCATGACTTACAGCACAAGACAAAATGTGCGCCTATATTTGTTAGCTTGGCAAATCTTTAACTCAATTCATAAGCTATATACAAGAAAAAGTCAAAGACATGCTTTTTCTTTTGATCAAAACCTAATGTCGGACTTTTTCAAAAAAAAAAAAAAAAAAAGTATTCCTTCTCACGTTTCAACATCTGAAATGTTCAGATATTCATTTATCATTTTAAAATTTTTTTGACCATGACGGTAGCATAATGAGTTAAGGATACTAACTGATAATTTATATATTTATATAATTTTATTCTATTTTTATTACCTGTCAAATTTTGGTTATAAATGAAACTGGATTACTGTGGTAGTAAGCAAAGAAAGAAGGTCATCAGAAATTCCCTTGGCATATGCAAATTTGTTTGAATTATTATTAATTATTATTACTTGTCTTGCAATTTATAAACAACACTAAACATGCATGGGCAAGTGGGCATTTCTCATCCAATTTCCCAAACCATATTGGTTGAGTTTCTCCTTGCCATGTTTGACAATATTCGATATAAAATTTTGGCACTCGTTCGACTGGAGTCCACTCGTGAAATATTTCATTGCTTTCTACTTGACTTTACAAATATATAGTAATTAATGGAGTTGATCTTCATAGTTATAATACTAATAAAACGCACCTAAAAAATATTAATGTTGATCAAGTCAAGCAAATTTGCTTATAATCTACTCCTCTACTACTTTAGTTTAACATAATTTAGCCAAGTTTACCCACAACATAAAATTATTCAATAGTTTTTTAGTATTAAAAAATATGTAACAACAAACGCGTTTGTTGTTTATTTTATTATACATAAAACTCTTAATTTAGTTTTATTTATTTTGTGCATGTATAGTTTTAGATATATAATTACTTGATGAGAAGTCGAGTAATTTGCTGTTTTAATCTCTAAGTTTCAGTTTTTGCTTCATAATAAGTTGTGGTGTGGAGATAGAAAAAAAATTTAGATATTGAGATTTGAATTTAAATTTATCAAATGTTATGTTTTAAAGATGATTAGATGATACTGGACCTGTTTTTGTCTTATAAATTTCATTTTGTATAATATCCTAACATCTAAATTTGAAACACCAAAGGCTAAGATGTTCTGTCAGAGATTCTTTATACAATTTGACAAATTATTGTAATTGTTGGTTTAAAAAACATCTACATAACCACGCACGAAGCTGGTTGTCGTGGCTCATGTTCTATGACAAAAGGAGGCAAGCATGAAAAGAGTTAATAAAACAATTTAAAACATGATACAACAATATGACATAAAAATTATATGAAAAATATATAAAAAATTATATGAATTAAAATTTTAATAAAAAATTTATAGATTTAGTAAAAACCCAAAAAATATTTTTTATTTTTTATATTTATACGAATTGTAACACATAATTTTTATATAAAATATAATATAAATACATAAATTTTTATAATATTATACAAATATATAAATTATCATATCTAAAAGAGAACACCTGATCCATCCTTTTGAAAAACAATTAGTCAAAACCATAACAATGTTTAGTACTTTTATTAGTTGCAATAATCATGAAAGCTAATCACGTTTGTTTGGCATTCATAAACCCCAGAAGTACTTTGATCAAACAAATCATTGGCCCCATAAAAGGAGACCACCACCATTTTCTGAACAGTTCCATCTTTGTTCATCTTCTGCATTACGTGAGAAGGCACATGGTCCACCAGATGATGCCTAATTCATTTTTTTCAAATAATATTTGGATTAGAAAGTACTGGGGTTTTAACTGCAGCCTTTTCTTAACCCTCTTCTATTTGCTCCAAATTTTGCTTTACAAAAAAAAAAAAAATGAAAAAGTTTTTAAGCATTTAGCCAACAATATTTATTAATGATGTTTGGATCTCCTCAACATATATATGGCTGTCGCTGAGGGGCTGCAATAGAGAGTTTGTGATAGCAATAAAAAAAAAAAAAAATATATATATATATATATATATCCAAAATACTAATAAATTAAATTAAGATTTGATGGAAGATGAGATCGGCAGTTAAAAGGTCAGCTGCAATTGAACATTGAAGGTCATGACAGGATGAAGATTGAAGATTGCAAATAAAATATATAGGTGAGAAGTCAATTACTCATAGGTGAGCAAAGCTGGCATCTGCAATAAAAACACCAATGCACCGACTCACCTCTCCCTCCCCTCATCTAATACCATAAGTAATAATATACAAATTAGTAGCTTTTTAACATTTTAATTTGTTTATGTGCTAACATTGGCATCAATCATGTTTGACTTCATGGTTCAAGAATGCATTGTGAATTTTCAAATGGAAATTCTCTATACCATACCATGCCTTGCTAGCCTAGCTAGATGCTTCATTTCTTCAAGGTTAGAAACGTAAGAGTAAGATGCATGTAGGCTTTTTTTTTTTTCAAAAATATTATTAAAACACTGTGTACATAACACAGTTTTAAAAGTTTTTTCTATAATGTATGTCAATGGGATATAGTGATTAGTTAGAACATGATAATCGAAGTTCAAACTAAGCTGGATTTTATTTATATATAAAGAGAAACAGAGTTGTTTATATATAAGGAGAAACAGATTTGTTTCTTTTTAGCAGTGACAAGTTGAACTGATGTACAGTGTTGAGTTCTGAACATGTATCCCTATTGTCAAATTGACATCTATTTATGAAATTAGGGCAGGCAAAGCATATGGTAACACGAAAAATCAGATCTGGCATTTATTTCTATTTCTAATAGTAATAATAATAATAATAACTCTATCCTGTATCTATATGCAAATGGAAATCATACTCACCGTCTTCACAACTTCCAAGTGTTTCCAGCATTCCACTCACATTAATAGCTGGCTGTACTTGCTGTCTATACATGTGTGTATATATATATATATATATATATTATATTTAAATAAAAGCTCAGCCCTAAGAATCCTAGAACTTGTCAAACCAGCCTTAACTGGTAATTTGGATTAGGTTTTTGTGGATTTCCAATATATTATGGAGTATGGACCAATCCACACTCCCAAGTCCAAACAATTGGGTCTAGGGTACCACGCCCAATTCAATATACTTTTACCCTGTCGTTGCATTTTTACGACTGTTTTTTTACGGCATTTTATTTTTAATATTAAACCAAATCCACCCAAACGCCTTTTCATAGCCACAAAAATTGGATTCCTGAAGTAAATTTGCATGGAAATTCAAGTGTTTCTGTATCTCTCTCTCTCTCTTTTTATCAAAATTCTAAACAATCAAACATATACATTTTTTAACCACAGTGTTACAATCCACACTAACCTACCCGTTTTGACCCGTTAAGCTTTAAGATTGAATTCACATTCAATCATCAGAGTCAGTTCCATCAGGCTCCCCAGCTTTGCCTCCTGTACCTGGAACCTCAGGCTTCGTTGCAGGTGTTCTTGTTTGCATTGCCATCTTCACCTTGCCCATTGGCCTCCGCATGTAAATCACGATTAAGGTATAAACACAACCCATCTCATAAAGACACAAAACACTCAATCAAGAATGCAGATGGTTAAATAAGATTCCTCATTCAATCCCTGTTACCATTCGGAGACCCACACATCAAGGACATGATGATGTATGTCTCGATAAAGTGACTTAATTTCCAGTGATGATTGGACCAAATAATATGATTTGATTTTCAGTCATGGAATTTTATTCCATCGGTGGCTACTTCAAGACTAGAAAAAAAAAGAATCATTTGCTAAAACATAACCAAAGATACAATATAGAAATTAGATGTATCAAGGAGATACATGATTTTCACCAAATCTTTTTCAACACGTTGTACATGTTCTGGCTGCAGAAATAACATAACTGGAATCAGTAGAACTACTAAATGATTAGAAAAGAAACTGCCAAACCTGCATTAACATTAAGTAACCCCCATACACAAGATAGAAGTGCTGAAAGCTTAGTCACTTAGAAAAAGTATGGTGACTACATATAAGAGACTTGGATGCAGCTCATGCCTCATTTTACCTTTGACAGCTCCTTTTATCAATTACATTAATGATGGATCATGGTAATTACAGGGCATATATAGTACTATGAAATTATGTCTATAAATTAAAATTTCCACATAATCTGAGAAAATTTTCTCTTTTTTTTTTTCTTTTGAAAGTTAATATGCAGAAACAAAAAGATTTCAAGAAGTAGTTTATGGATGAATTTAGATCTGGCTCCCTCTGAAATCTTCACTTCCATACATCCCTCGTTGGAGGGGTGAGACCAAGTCCGTACTCCAGTGCATCCAGAGAAGCTGCTCCTGACTCTCTGACCAAAATCATCTGTAACAATGGTAACAGTCAATATAACCAATAAGATGTGAAGCAACCATGCATAACTGTATCAAAATAATAAAATATTAGCACATACCATACTTGGCCAACATCAGCTGTTTTAACTAATGCACCATCGTCAAATGTTTTGTATGACTAAACAACACAAGGAATATCCAAGAGAGATAAAGGGCAATGAGCATTGCCAATGACAAATATATCCGCCCATCCTCCGCAAAGTAAGAGGCAGATTAACATCCACAAATATCCCAAGACTATGGTCAAACAACATTGATAATGTGAATAATGGATGCACAATCTTACCTTTACTTTTGGTAATCACTCATCACTTTATGCTGAAAATCAAGGACTACTATTGTAATTCAATAATTATTTGCTGCTGCACAAAACCTGCTGGCAACATTCAAGAAAGTTTCACTTTGGTCAGAGTCTGACTGTCAGACCAATAGTGCCACACAAGGTAGCATAACATGTTCTGCATACTTCTAAAGCACAAACCATAGAAAGAGTTTTTCTATGAATGTTCAACAAACAAATCACCATTCCAAGAATAAAGTTATTCTTCCCTTTTAGCTCACACATTTTATGAGACAAATTTGTATTAAAGGTAATAACTCCCATGTATTACTCTCTATGCAAAGCTACATAATTACATTATGAGGCCCTGCTGGAGAAGCTAAATAAAGAAATTTCAATATTTCATATCTATTGCCTGCTTCTTAAAATAATAATTACTGTCCAGCATAATAGTTTCTTTGTTTTAAATGTTTATCTTGGTTAGCAATGCATCTCCAAATGACACATCGATATGATAAAAGAAGGTCAATCACTCTACTGGATTACATTAGTAGACAACGACAATTGAATGAACAGAACTAAAAGTGTCACAAAAGATAAAATTCACTAACATGGAACATTCTCATCTGGCCTTTAGGTTTGATCCCCATCCATCTGGAAAATACAATTAGCTAGAAGCTATAATCTAAGTCAAGTTTATAAGGCTCCCTTTGGATGGCCGGTGGGAGGGGTTCCCATCATACCATCCCTGTGTTTTATGACTGGAGCCCTAAGTCAATCAACATTGCTGGAGCATTTGAGAGAATATAAAATGAAAAAACATATGGCAGAAGAATCCAAACTATGAAGAGGATTAAGTTGGAAAATATATGAAATGCCTCATTTGTTTTTCTAGCCCTCCAGGTAAAAGTAATAAAGTTTCATGGCAGTCCATACTCTTTAGGCTACAAAGAGACAATTTACTAGAAAAAAAAGTGAAAAAGAAGAAAGTTGGGTCTTCTAGTTAATATATAAATAAAAAAGAAAGACACAATAGAGATTATGGTATAGAGTAAATACAAGTTATTTAAACACACAAATGTTTAGCTAATATATAATCAATGAGAAAGATAGAATAGAGATTATTGTACAGCGTAAATATAAGTTATCTAACCAGACAAATTTTCAGCTAAATTAAACTTAGGACCCAAGAGCTTCTTAGAATAGAGATTACTCATAGAAATCTAAGTATAAGTTTAGAAGGAATACAAAATGTTAGCACATAGACAATAACAACAGTTACGAGGCATTTGTATAATCATGCACAATGCCTTACCAGAAAATACCAAATCTAGTGATTTGTCCTCAGCAGATGCAGCATTTTCACTTAAAATGGAAATCTATGCGCTCAGCAACAGAAAATGGAACTTTAAGAATGAATTGCTCATCCATGCCTGCTAAATGAAATGAAATATAGCAAAGAAGAAAGATTAACTTATTCCATAGTCAACCATCAATCTTGAAACTAATGCAACAGCTCAAAACCCAAATTCCTCTAATTTACATACCATTCAATCATAACAATTAAGATCAACCTAAATTCACAAGTTCATTTTTGTCACCAAATGTAAGATTAAGACTGTTTAGCAAACCATAATAAGTAGCACTGTTAAACACATCATACATATCATTTACGAAAAAATGAACAAGATGTTCTCTTTATTGGTAGCTGAAAAGAAATTATATTTATTTTAAAAATCCGAATTCACTATCATACAGAGTACATATGAAATTTAAAGTCATCTAGTAGAAAGGCACATAAACACTGCGTTGCATCATAAAAATTGGCTAGAATCAGCACAGAAACTAAAACTTTTTGAGTTGGAATAATCTAGCACTTATGGTACATTTAAAGCAATTAGAAAATAATGCAATGAAAGAAACCTAATTAACCTAAAGCTTTTATCAAACATTTTAATGGCACAGCAAAGCATGACGCAATTGATCTGTCCTTACAGATATTACCCAAGAAAAACAATAACTCTTCGAACATATAACGCTGAAATTAAGCAGCCCAGTCCTTTGATACTCTAAACATTTCATTAAGCTTGTAAAATGCAAGCCAGGAGGAACTGAGAATTGTCGTTAAAGGAACTTTAATTGACTGTGAATTCAATTACCTCCATGGATTGCAAGAATAAATGCAGAAGCTCAAAACTCGAGTTCCTGTAAAATGAATAGAAACAAAATCACAAATTTATATGAACAGGAGTTCAAAATCCAGTAAGCAAGAAAACACCCAAATGTATTTCTGTATTGAGGAGATAGAAAGGGAGAAGAGTCAATAATCCAACCCTTCTTCTCTTTAGGTTTCTGCAATTTGTGATACCTGATGATGAACTTTTTTTAGGTTTAATATATACAAACAAGACCTCCAACTTTATTACTAAATAAATACAAAAAACTATGCCATGTTATTTTATCAAATTATAGGTCATGTTTAATTTATAAGATTATGTCATAATATAATAATATGATATTATAAATAGAATTAAAATAAATAATATCATTTTATTTTATATTTGATATGTGTAAAGATTAAAATAAAATAATTTATTTATTAAACAAAATTATTATTTTTCAAAATTATACAATTTAAATTATTGATATAATTTTTAAAAGCATAATAAAATATATAAATTTAATTCTATGAATTAAAAATAATCATCTTCACTTTAGGAAGATTGAATCATTCTGCTCCAAGAATATGATAATTCTCCTTATAATATTATCATTTTCAATTAGATACAAACTAAATATAATATAAAATAATTATCATATTATCTTATTTATTATCCTATACACTTAGCATGATTATAAACTTTTATTTTATTATAATTATACTAATTAAATTTTAAAATTGAATGAATAATATTCAATTGATAAAATTTTAAAATAGTATTCTCTTAATTTTTTTTTTAATCCATTCAAATGAATCTAAGTAAGTATTTTCAATAAATTAAATCAACCAATTAAAATTTAAATAAAAAATTAAATATTTTATATTGTCAAAAGTTCTAATTACAATAAAATAAATGTTTATAATCTTAATTTCATGTAATAAAAGATTAAGAGCTTATTCACATTTTAAAGTAAATTTTGAAAGTTTATTTGGATATTATATCTTTTTTAATTTTTTAAAAGAATAAACTCCATGTACACCCTCTATGATATGCGACTTTCCTATTTACACTCATTGTGAAAAATTTTCCCCACTTATAATCTTGGAGTTACGTATCATTACTAATAGGGATAATGGTGTCACCTTAAACCTTAAATTCCATTCGAAGAGAGAGTAAAAAGGAGATTGGGACCAAAATTTCTTTGAATGTTGAGATTAATCGCTTGAAAATTAACGAAATTTAGTGGGTTTACTAAGGAATGAAGATGAATTAATAAGTTGTTGGTGGATGTTTCTTTGTCATTTTTGTTTATTGAAACCAAAGAGAAATCAAGATAAAATTATATTCCATCACTCTTAGTAGTGCTTTTGATAGCATGTTAATTGATTAAATATAAGGTTTTTGGCTCTTTTGTTGCTTTGTTTTGTCAATTAGCATTCTAGGGTTTATATCTGGATTATAAAAATATGTTTAAGGATTGTTCGATATTGGTTTTTTTAAAATCCTATTTTTTCACCTTAATTTTTTTTGTTACAAACATGTTGTATAATGAAGAATGTTGGTATACAAACATTGTTGGTGAAGATGTGCATTGGTTATAAAAATTTTAGATTATTGAATGATACTTTGTTTTAGGTTTTATTATTGAATGATACTTTGTTTTAGGCTCTGTTAGCTATAAAAACTGTGAAAAATGTCTTATATTTGTTAACCTACAGATGATGAACAATTGAAAATTATATGCACTGGTTTTTTATCATAGAGGTGAGTTCATAAGACAATTTAACTTAGTGTATGTTGATAGAGATGTGCACTGGAATGATGAGTTTCTTTATAAATGAACTATCATATTACGAGTTACATACAATGTTTGATCATGTAAAACCATATTTATTGGACGACACTAAAATTTACTACTGTATACCAAGTTTTAGGCTTAAGACTAAGTTTAAGATAATTGAAAATGACAAAGATGCTAAATATATGTTAGATTTTTATAAAAATGAGTATAGTAGCCCAATATACTTGATGTTTAAAGATAATTATATTTGTCTACAAGTAAGGGTACTTACCCTAGGTACAGAAAATGAAAGTCATATGGTGACTTTAGTTAGCCAAATGTTTTATGTTTTTCTGATGAAAGGCCTAGGGTTAAGATGAATGATAAAAGGAATATGGTTGTTACATAATAACCATGGGGGGTTAAGATGAATGATAAAGGGAATGATGTTGTTACTTAAGAACTAAATGGGTTAAGATAAATGATGAAGGGCTTAAGGTTGTTACACAAGATCTTAAGGTTGAGATGAATGGTGATGGGCTTAAAGTTGAAATGAATGATGATCTAATGTTGGAAAATGAAGGTGGGTTTGAAATATTGCCTAATGATGATGGAGGTGGTGGTGAAATAGGTAGTGAAAAAGTGTCTAGTGATGAAGTATCTGCTACTGATGAAGTTTTTGGAAGTGAAAAAGAACCTGCTGAAGAAGTGGTTGCTAAGGAAATGCCTATTAGAGATAATTTTGCTAAAAAAATGCATGTTAAAAACGTGCTTGCTAAAAATGTGCCTGTTGAGGAAAATGAAGATGGCATCAACTTGACTAAAGAGGATTTGAAAAAGTTGATGAAGCCAAAATAAAAAAATGAAGATGAATGCATAATTTTAAAGGTTTAAATGATGAGGAAGTAAAACAATACTCTAAATATCATGAACCAAAAGGTAATGAAAAAATGAAATTGAAAAAATGTGTGGTGTTCTCCATCAGTAAAGTAGTTCAAATTAGCTTTAAATAATTGGGTAGTAGATATAAGGTATAATTACAAGTTTTAAAAGAATGAAAACTCTATAGTGACTGTGGTTTGTAATATTCATCAAGTCAACTACCTTTTAGAGTGCATGCTCATGAGTGGCTGGTGAAAATACATTTCAAATTAAAACATTTAAAGACCAACATACATGTGCTAGAACATCAAAGATGTCTCAAGTTGATGTTAGATTTTTGGCAATAAGATACTTAGCATCATTTAAAGAAGATCTAAAGCTAAATGTCTTGGCTTTTCTAAATAGAATATGGAGAGAACTAGGATGTAAGATTAGTACACCTATTTTTTTAAGGCAAAAAGCAAAGCGTTGAACTTTATTGAAGGAGACTATAGGGGTTAGTATGCAATTTTAAGGGATTATCATGAAATGATCTAAAAAAACTAATCATGGGAGCATTCTAAAGATGTTTCCTAACCTACAACCTCTAATGGTGGTGAATAGGTTACAAAAGGAGATGCCATCAAGGTTTTAGAGTTTTGTAGCTTAGTTTTCATGCACTAAAAGAACGGTTTAGTGGATATTACAGACTAGTAATTGGTTTAGATAAGACATATTTGAAGACTGCTCTAGATGGTCAATTGCTTATTGCCATTAGAAGAGATGGTAATGAAACTATGGTACCCATTGCCATAGCAGCTATTGTGCAAGAAATAAGAGAGTCATGGACTTGGCTTTTGATCATTTCATTAAATGATATTGGACATCCAATAGTTAAAAGGTAGGCATTTATTTCAAATTAGCAAAAGGTATATTTTATTTTAAAGAATTATTTCTTATATCAAAGTTTTTTTTTATTTTTATAAACTTTTAATCTGTTTTTTTTTTTGTTATTTGTTTAGGATTTACAACAAATGTTTCATTAGTTTTGTCTAACTATAGAACATAGGTTTTACATAAAGCATAGGTATGAAATTTTCAAAAAGAGTTTCAAGGGTGTCGAGTACAAAGATACTTTCTGGGCAATTACTAGTGCTTTATCTATGAAAGAATGAAAGAAGGCAATGAATAAGCTGAAATGAATAGACAAAAGTAAGCCTTATGAGTGGTTGATGAAGCATAAAACTCAAAGTTGAACAAGAATACATTTTAGCACTAAAATTAAGTCTAAGATCTTAGTTAACAATATGTGTGAGCCATTTAATGCGTACAACTTAGCAACTGGGAATGAGCCAATTGTGTCAATGTTGGAGATGATTATGAGGAAGTTTATGAAAAGATATGTTAAAAAACAAGGTATGGGAAATATGCAAGCCCAATCACTTTTACCATATAAGAAAGTCTTGATAAACATAATTTATAAAGTAAGAACTATTTGGCCATTTTTGTAAGTACGATGAAATATGAGATGAATTATTTTAACAAATCATGTATTGTAGACTTAGCTACAAAACTTTGTTCATATTGACTTTGGGACCTTACTGGTGTTTCATGTAAGCATAATGTCGCTTATATATTTATGAGAATAGAGAAGCCAAAGCAATATGTAGATAAATACTAAGGTAAGGAGACATATTTGAAGACATAAAAAGCTATGGTCAATCTAATGCCAAGTAAAGATGAATTTAAAAGCTTATTAGGTCTTGTTGATGTACCAGTTGTCTTTAAACCCTCAGAAAAGTCCAAAAAAGCTAAGAAAAAGGCAATTAATGAGTTTAAAAACCTTACAAAGTGTTAAGGGCAAAAGGTCTGTTAAATGTGGTAATTATCATAAAAAGGGTCTAATGTCAAAAGATGTAATGCTAGTGTGACTGAAGAAACATCACATCAAAAAAGAATAAGGAAACAAAATAAACAAGCATAATTTACAACTATTGAAGCTACAGCTTAACCTACCAAACATCAAACCTCAATTATAAATGTTCTCGAATGCTTATCCAAACTTTTAAAAGTAGCATATTTTGTATTAAAAGTCATGTATTAATTATTGTTTTTTAAGGTAAAATTTTTTATTAGTTATTTCATATTAAAATTTTCTATATATTGTAGCTTTCAATTAGATCAACTAAAAAGTCAAAAATAGAAATTGTAAGCACAGTTGCTGTAAATGTTCTTGAAAAATTATATAGGATTTTATCTACTCCTATGCAGCTTTTTGCATTAACTCTTGTGTAACTTTCTTCATCTACTATAATACCCACCACTGGATTAAAGTTTTTATCTGCAATGCACACTACAAGATCAAAGTAAACTTTTAAATCCTCCAATTTAGTCAGACCTTCAAACTTACCTTTTTTGTTTTTAAAATGTTGACTTAGCTTTATGATATTTAAATTGCAATCACAATCTTTGCCACCAGGAAACAAAGAAAGGTAACTTTCAAGAATATAAAGCAATGTTGGAAAAAAAAAAAGGAAAATTGACCTAAAAAAGGATGACTTGCAAGCAAAAAGTTAGCTTTTTT